GCGGCTCATCCTTCATTGGCTTTAGGGCCTGTGGGAGCCCACCTTTGTGCTGAATCCCTTAGATCACGGCCTCATTTCTCAAGGCATGGCTCTCCTGCTGTGATGGAAAAGCGAGGTCAGCGAAGGGAAGAGACGGAACAGCAGGCGGGTGGCGTGACGGAGGGCCCTCCTGCCCGGCTCCTCTCATGTTCGCGTCCATCCCCTCCCCGTTCTCTGCCTCGGCCCTTAGCTGGAGAGAAGCCGGAGGAAGCACGTGCTGTGGGGTCTGCTGTGGGAGGCGAGCGCGGGAGGGAAGGTGAGCTGAGAAGGTGCACGGAGAAGAGAGGAGAGAGACCCGGGAAGGCCTGCAGCCTGGTGGCCCGAGTCGAGGACACTGGTGTGCGTGAGGTCATGGGCACAGCGGCTCCATGGTCCCTCCCACGTTGTGGTGGTTGTCTTAGGGCTTAACGCTTAGGAAACCCCGACGCAGCACTGATTACACAAAGAGTTGTGTGCAGATTATGAATTTCTCCTTGTTTCCTTACCTGAGTGAGATTTCTATTTATTTATTTTTTTCCTAAAGGAAAAGCCTTTTTATACCTTTGCTTGCTGGAAACCTCGTCACACAGTGTCCCCGCCATGTGCTGGCAGATCACTGAGAGCCCCAAGAAAACCCACAGCTTAGAGGGTGAGGCGTTTTACCGCATCAGCAGTTACTGTTTGGCACTTTAGTTATTTATAGTTACCAAATGAGTAGGACTTCCTTCACGTGTATCGTGAAGCCTAATTTGCCACAAGGAGGCTGATTTATGAATTGCCGAAAGGCCTTGTGACATGGTCCCCGAGGAAGAATTACATAGTAAGCTTCTAATATGTGTCCTTAAAAGGCAGCATGTTATTGTTCATTTTGGCTCTTTCAGAGGTTGGTTAGCTGGCTTATTTTCAAATAAAAATTCCAGAGAACAGAGGTCGTGTGGTAGAGACCAAGAATTCCTAAAACAGCGAGGTTCCTTCGGCAGCAGCTTCATGGCGGTTGGCAAGGCCAGGCCCTTCCGTGTGTACTGACTGGTGGACGCAGGCAGCAGACGGATGTTTCTGGGCAGGTGTTGCGGCTCGTGTGCCCACCGCCCCCATGAGCTGAGGTCGCCTGGACGGGGACGCGCTGGCGTCTGGGTGCCGAGTGGCATGGCCCTCGGCGGCCTCCTTGCTGTTTTCCAACAATCCGTGGTGTTGGATGCTGTAGATTTTTGTTACACAGCATGCTGGCCGACTAGGCTGAAGGGGCTGGGGGAGCAACCAATGAGCCTAAGTAACCATGTGTTGAATTAAATATTTTATAGTAAAGCCACAGGACCGAGTAAAGATGCCTCCTGTGACTTAAACTTTTATTTCAGAGCTCTCAGCCCATTGCTACCAAAGATGACATTTGCAGATTCTCCTCCATCTTCTCAGATCAGAAGTTTAATATCTTTCTTAAACCTGAACCAAATATTCTCAAAAGATGCAATTTTCCTGATTCTTTTAGGATGAAATGTATACACAGGTTTAGATTCTTTGAAGTTGTTACAGAACTAGAGATTTTCTTTTTGAGAGGCAGGCTGCAGAGGTGAGGGTTCATGCCTCTGAACCCCTAGCCTTGGGGCACGTTTTATCTCAGGTAGTTTTCTTTCCCTAAATTAACACCTGTGCTTCCGCCCCTCTTCCTTCCCAGTTTCTTCTTTGTTGTCCTGTGGTGTCGTGGCATGTCTGTGTGCAGAAAAGCTGCGGGAAGGGCCTCCTTCATGGGGCGGCCGTGGTTCTCCGGGGAGTGTTTGGGGGAGGTGGCTGGGTTGCCATGCCACTTCCGAAACTTGGAAGCTGTGTGGAGGAGGACAGGTGACCCCCCCCTCACTGGAGCTTTGTGTGAAGCATCGTAAGAATTCCCCCTGGCGACAGGAGACGGCACGTTAGCTGGGCCATCAGCACAGCACCCCACACGCCTTCCCTCCTGCTGTGCCTTGAGCCAGAGCGGTGGCAGCTCCCAGCACAGAGGCACCAAGCGCGGCCCTCAGCCTGCCTGCGGCCCCGAGGAAGCAGCGCCCATCCCGGTGCCCCCGCCGCCACAGTGCAGAGACTTCAGTGGGAGTTCAGGGAGGTGTGAAGGGTGTTTCCGGAACCGGCTTCCCAGACCCCTTTTACTGCTGTTCCTTGCGATTAGCCCTTGAGCACACTTATTGGAAGGAGTGCCACCAGGTAGAGGCCATGGAGGGAGAGTAGCCTGAGGTGAGCTCCCACCCCACGCCGGGCTCACCTGAGCGGGCCACCGGGTCCCTCTGGGACGAGTGACCAGCAGCACTCAGATGCCGGCCCCGCTTATCTGAGCTCAACCCTCACACGTGGTTTGCTGGTGTTGTGGCATCATTTCCTTCCTAGGTCTTACTTTTTGACTTTATTAAATTAGGCCGACCTCACATAATTTCTACTGTCAGTTATCCTTGGCAGCGTGGCATTTTATTTGTTGTAATTTGATGAACATCGGCACCATGGTAACCAATAGTAATTACAACAACAGTTTGGGGGTGAGGGGTGAGGGGTGAGGAGGTCGCCCAGTAGCCGAGACACCTCTGCGAGGGTGCCGCTGGCGGCGCAACTCAGATCAGGGTGCAGATGGAGTGGCATCGTGACTGCCTGGGCTGAGCAGGCGTCAGGTGTGAGCAAGTGCCTTGTGTTTCCCAGGAAGCTCCACACGCACTTGGGCGGGAGCTTCCTGCACCTCGGCCTTTTCCTTGGAATCACTTTGGGTTGAGAAACAGTAAAAAAAATGTCCATATTGCCCGGGTTTACCTTTTGTGTGTGAGTGTGTATGTAAGACTAGTCATATTTCATCTCCCCCAGTTTTACGGGGACGGGCAGGCAGAGAATCTGGGAGATGCTGTTTCTCCCCAGGGTCCAGTTCACCCTCAGTGGCAGGCCCCTTGGCATCCTGCCACTCGGGCTCCCTGACGTAATTTCTGTCTTGTCACATGCAGGCCAGCCCCACATCCCAGTTAGCTCAAAAGACTTTCCGTTTCTTCTGCAGGTGCTCAGTGAAGCACCTTTACTTCATGTTCATGTGACTTACTGGCCCTTTCTGAGTATAAAAGTGCTGAATCTCCACAAGGGGGACCTCGCCTGAGCTCTTGTGACAGTTTTTTTCTTACAGAGGGATGTGGACCTTTTAGTTTCTGATGTACCCAGAATTGTAAAGTTTTTATTTTTGTTTTAGGTTGGCTTCTTTTTCCCCGACACCACAGGGCTTACCATGTTTGTTATCTTACCACCCGGCCCCACCCCGTGGAGCGACACAGTGGCACGCAGTTGACAAGTACTTTGGGTATTTAAGAAGAAGGTAAAGCAGTTTTAACTACTTTTGCTGCAGTTTTATAGGAGAAAATATACCTATTCCCCAGAGAGCATGTAGGAAGTTTTCTGTTTCATAGGTGGTATCAAGATGATCGTTAGGGTATAAGATGCCTCGTTTACACAACCCTTGTTCTGATAAGAAGGTTTTATTCCTACAGCTCAGCACTTTTGTTTCTTAGACTGCTTTTCTGAGTATTGATGTTTCAAATTTGCTTTATTTGTGCTGTTTAGATACTTGTCATAATCACGGCAGTTATGTTTCTGGCACCAGGAACGAAATGCTGGAATTGACGGGAAACGTATCCAGTGATGGCCCAAGCGTTATTTCCCGTTAAATAGACTGTCACAAGATCGGAAAGAAAACTGGTGGCTTTTGGAAAGCCATGTGTGTTTTATGACCTAGGTTTATAGTATTTTAATTCAAGGGCACAGAGAAGCATCCAGTCTTATTTGTCTTGCATGGCCATTAATCCTTGTGCAGAAAAGAGCTTGTTTTGTTATACTGCTTTGTATTATGAAAATAAGTCACTCTGGAAAAACCCAAACTGGAATTGTGAATCCCTTTGCCTCTTTTTGGGGAAACCTTGTGGAAACATCAGAGCTGTTTGTTATCACAAACTCTGGATTGTCAGCAAGGGGATTATTTGCAGCCCCTTTTCGACCGCAGGATGGAGCTGCCTGTCCCTTCTCAGCGACGCCCCTTGACAGTGCGATGTAGGGCGGTGAATGTGCAGAGGCCGGCGCAGAGCGGCGTCGGGGCCGTGCGCACGTGGGCTCCATCTGCCCAGTTACGTGAATTCCCTGCAGCTGCGGCACTTGACTAGCGTGGGCTGTGAGGAGTCTGTCACGTGTCAGGCGAGGAGGAGAGACAAGACCTGGCTGGTGTCAGCGGCCTTCCACAGAGCTTGTGACCTAAAAAGACACTTACCATTAAAATCCAGGTCCGCTACCTGGAAGTAGCACAGATACGTTACCTTTCCTGCACATTCCTCAGCATTGTTTACCCAGGAAGTTATTTTAAGAGTGTATGAAACCAGATTCAATGTCCATGTTCAGTTTGACCTCATTTTTAAAAGTTCTTGGACTCTAGCTTCTGTGTATTTGGTGCACATCGACACTCATCAGATCAGAGACGGGCTGGGACCGCCGCCGTGCTTGTGGCCCTGCGCCTGGCCACTGGCCGTGCGGCCACAGCACCTGCAGAGTGAGGAGCGTTTGTTTGTTCAGTAGAGTAAGGGAGGGTCGATCGCGCCTCTGTAGAAAGAATGCCCGCTTTGCGGTGGTCAAGCTGCCCATCTTTCCAGCAGGACTTACTCCTTCATTCTTAATTCCTTTCTGAAAAAACTCTGAAGTCATTGAACATTCCTTTATATCCTGTGAGTGGCGTCCAGTGGGGTAGAAGGGACTGTCCCCCAGAGGGCTCCGTCTTCATTGTCTTGTGATGGCTCTCAGAAGTCCAGGCAGGGCTGGCAGGCTCCCAGAAGCACTGCAGCAGTTGGAGGTGGAGGTGGAAACCCACAGCTGTTCTCCCTCAATAAC